AAAAAAAAAAACAATCCCAGAATGAGAAAAATAATGTATAATAACATGCTTCTCTAAAAATCTAATTTATTATTTGATAAAGGCTGCACGTTTCTTTACGCTGTCCACTCAAGTAAATCACATTTTAAATATGCACAAATGATCGAGAATATCAGAAAACAAACCTCACGACTGCACATGTAAAAAAAATACAACCATAAAGTGTTTTATTACAGAAGGTTAACATTTTATGTTCGCCGAGACCAAACAGTGTGTTGCCATATTTGCAGCTGCGCCGCAATAAAAATATTAAACGGCTTTAATAGCAAAAAAATAAAAATTCAGTTCGTATAAAACATAATTCAGACGCATCAGCAGCATCACGGGGTCCGAGGCGCATTGATTCTGATCAATAGTGCTGCACTTACACAGCAGATGGCCGGAGAGCGACAGAGACTCGGGCCTCTTCAGCTTTTAGCTTGAAAGAAGAACTTATGCATCATGATCCTCATATAATAACAAACTGAAGTGTGTTTCATTTAGGCTACACCTAATCCATTCAGATGAACACAAGATGAGTTAATCTCATCACAACTGAACGTTTGCCCTGAAACTAACGCGTTTTGTTACAGCAAGCCTAATCTAAATTAATGCTTTTTTTTTTAGTTTCAGTGTTTTATTATGTGAAGCACAAACATTAATCAGAGTATTTATTTATCAGCTTGATAATCAGCAATCATCAGTTCAGATTTCACAGAAATAAATCGTTTTGCATTTGAAATAACCTAAACTATTGGGAAAATAGGTTTAAATAGCACCAGATTTTTTTTTTACTTTGAACTGTTTTATTAGGTGTATGCTGATAAACATTTTATTAATTATAATTTTTGTCTCATATACTGACAGGCTAATATTTGATCATTTTGGGTTTATCTGCATAGGCCTGTAAATATGAATTGACTATTAAAGCTGGTAAATTGAGCTGAGGTCTAGACTATTATATGTATTTAGAAAGAAAACAAAGTCCATGTTGGAACTCTCTCTCTCTGTTTCTCTCTCTCTTTCAAATATCGATTTTCTTTGACATGAAAAAGGGCCTTTTTCAGTCAGTGATTCTTCGCATTAGTGTGCCGAAAGCAAAGCAGCACAAAGCTCTCGCAGAACACCAGAGCACGAATCAAACTCGTGTGTGTCCGACACTGAATCTCGGCAGGTATACAGACACTTTTCCTCAATCTGTGGCAGCTGAAAGACCGGGGAGAGGCTTGTGGAGGACACTGGGCCCCCTGCACCTCCTGCTCCTCCTCTGACAGCTGATCAAAAGAAAAATAGGTCACGCTTTTCAGACTTCTGTCGCTCATCCTTAATTACAGTCGCTTTAAACAAAAGCAACATCTGCGCATCCTCCAAACAAAACAGCAACCGGCATTCGAGAAATCTGTTCCTTCTGAATCACTGCAAGCCACACTGCGCGTGAAAGAAGTTACTGTGCAAGTGGATTGATCGATTTAGAGTAACTCTAGCGAGAAGGATAGGGTTTGAGGTTTAACACGAACATGC